CGCACGCACACACACACACACACGCACGCACCCACACACACACGCAATAAATCATCATGGCGAGCGACTCGATCGGTGGCGTGCCGACGAAGACGTGCATCGGTTTTCTCGTCGTCGTCGGCGTCGTCATGCTGTGTGTCGGGTTTCCGGTGATGTGGATCAAGTATGCGAAGCCTTACCTAAAGACGGCCCACTTTGTGAGCACCACGTGTAAGGTGCTAGACAGCAAGAGACTGGACGAGTAAGTATATATACACACACGCACACGCCGCGCACGACCACACACACACACACACACACACACACACACACACACACACACACTGATGGCATAGTAGCTACGAATGGTGGTGGTGGTAGTAGTAGTTATATTTATAGTAGTTGTATTTATATTTTTGCATCCAGCAACAGTATTCGTTATACTTAACATTGCTTATTCCTCGTTCTCTCTCACGCACACGCACGCACGCACAGCTACACGTGTGCATGCACGGAGGAGGAGTGCGACGACGAGCTACAATACCCATGCGTCGGCATCAATGTCACCTTCACGCCGACGACACGAACCGACAACAGGACGATGCGATGGGACACGCTGCTCTACGAGAACGAACTTACCTATCTGCTCTTCAAAGGAAAACACGCTAAGGTGAGCGAGCGTCACTCACTCACTCACTCACTCACTCACTCACTCACTCACTCACTCACTCACTCACTCACTCACTCACTCACTCACTCACTCACTCACTCACTCACTCACTCACTCACTCACTCACTCACTCACTCACTCACTCACTCACTGTGACTTCTAGATATATCACTTCCATCGACTCCACCACTTCTATTTATTTAGTTTCAATTGTTTTAATTTTATCAGCATAGCCTATTAAGTTATTTAACCAATAGGTTACCTCCAAAATCTAATTCGTTAGAGTAATTAAAGTAATTGAATTGTATTGGAGTGACGGCGGGTGGCATGGGTGAGAACGCGAGGTGACTGTGATTTATCTGGTCGGCCTGTGAACGCGATCTCGTGATGGTAGCGGGCTAGAGAACGGCCCGAGGTGCTTCTCTAGTTCCATACAGCAGCTTAAAGAACTGTTACATTTACTGCTACACCGGCCACACTTCCTCACTATATAGAAGCCTTGGGTAATATTATATTTACTGCAACGCCCGCTTCGTTTGCATGGAATATGGCGTTAGATTAGGTAACGCTGTCATGCCAGGCTGAATTATATCAGGAGTAGATAATAGGGATATATTTCAAGAGTAGTTCCCTATTATCTACTCCTGATTATATGCTAGACTAGGTGGCACTGCTATCGTTGCTCCCACATCGATACGTGTGACTAGACTATCAATTTACCATTACGTTTATCTTCTAATGTTAAACTGTAGAAATTCGATCAAATTTACGCTGTAATGTGTGGGTAAACTGTAGCAATAGGATCAAATTTACACTGTAATGCGTGGTTAAACTGTAGTAATAGGATCAAATTTACACTGTAATGTGTTGTTAAACTGTAGAAATACGATCAAATTTACACTGTAATGTGTTGTTAAACTGTAGAAATACGATCAAATATACACTGTAATGTGTTGTTAAACTGTAGCAATAGGATCAAATTTACACTGTAATGTGTTGTTAAACTGTAGCAATAAGATCAAATTTACACTGTAATGTGTTGTTAAACTGTAGAAATACGATCAAATTTACACTGTAATGTGTTGTTAAACTGTAGCAATAAGATCAAATTTACACTGTGGTTAGACCAGAAAAAAAATCATTACACCAGAAAAAAAAATCATTACACCAACACTGTGACGTATGATCATCACAATAGGAACATCATTACATTCAATAAAGCTAGCAGCACACTTCACCATTTTCGTTGCTCGTACAGGCAATTTTCTTGGTCGCCACAAAAATGGCCAAGTGTGCGGGGGCCGGCAACGACCACTCACCACGGAAACCGGTTTGATTTCTCACCACAAAAATTGTTCGTGGTGGCAACTTGTGGTGAAGTGTGCTGTGACGCGGCAACGGCCACAAAAATTGCCGACCACGAAAATTGCCTGTACGAGCAATGAAAATGATGAAGTGTGCTGCTGCTCTTGCGTGGTTGGCATGTCAGCACTTAAATCATCTCCCGCTCACCTCGCGCTTACGTCTGTCGCAGTGTTTCTACGGCTACGCAGGCGACTGCCTTAACAGCGTCGGACACCAGGAGAAGCTGGGTCTAGCAGTAAGCAAGCTGCGTGAGTTCGGGCGGCGAGGCAAGGAGTACAGCTGCCTCTACAATCCTAGCAACTGGAACGAAGTCATCAAGGACCGCACGGTGTCGCGCACGGCCGCAATCCACGCCATCTTCTGGCCGTGGTTCTTCGTCGTTGCTCCTTGCGTCATCGCTTGTGTGTACTACGTCATTGCGGGCATGGCTGAAGACTGTCGCAGCCAACCGGAGAAGGAGACGAAGTCAGCTGACCTGAAGACGTTGTCGGCGCCGAAGCGACATCGACACAAGCGCCACCACTGACGAGCTGTGTCACGATACTGCTTGTCGTATCGTGTTCATACTGGCGTATCGTGTTCATACTGGCGTATCGTGTTCATACTGGCGTATCGTGTTCATACTGGCGTATCGTGTTCATACTGGCGTATCGTGTTCATACTGGCGTATCGTGTTCATACTGGCGTATCGTGTTCATACTGGCGTATCGTGTTCATACTGGCGTATCGTGTTATTGTTACCACATCGTGGCTTTATTGTGGAATCGGGTCCATTCTATTGTATTATTTGATTGTTATAGTATCATTTTCGTTCTACCGTATCACGTGTTTCGTGCCGTTCGCGACATATTATTTCATATGATCACCTTGCTATAATTTCTAACCTTTTAGATCGCAGCTTGGACTTTTCACTTCACTATTTATATGCGATACTTAAGGTATCATGTTCTTCTGACTCTAATCGCTTCATGTCCTTACTACCGTGCATTTATTATCAGTTAATAGATTGCTGATCATGTCTTCAATTCCGTAGGAAGCTTAGTAGCATATTGAAATTACTACATCTTTATTTTTTCGTTATAGTTACTTATACGTATTTGGACTGCCAAATATTTTGAGCCAGATTGATACAATCTGCATGTGATCTGCTCATAGAAGGCCAAGGGGTTTTTACATTATATTATTCATGGAATTGTTGTTCATAGCAGTATGCAAAACATTAATAAAAACCTCTATATCATGTTTATTAAGCGATTCTCCGTATTTTCATTTTAACCGCATTTAATTAGTAGTAATTTGTAGTCATATATATAAACAAATCTATACCGGCTTTAACCAATAAGAATCCATATTATGTATAGTTTAACTACAATAAACGCGGTTGTAATACGCCACCTGATTGGCTGAAAACGTTCGAATTTTAGGTTGAATCTTTTTTCGGCTACGACCGCTAGTGAACGAATTTAGTTTCGCCATCGTAAAATTAATTAAAATGCATTAATTTATTCATAACTTAACTTAGACGGCCTTTATCACGCGTGTGTGCAGCGTCGTCATATGCTAGTGTATGTAATATTCCTCAGAGAGTCCTTCTCTATCGCTCTCTCTCTCTCTCTCTCTCTCTCTCTCTCTCTCCTGCTATGCTATCCGCTCTCTCTGCTCTCTCTCTCTCACTCTCTGTCTCTCTCTCTCTCTCTCTCTTGGCTCTCTCTCTCTCTGCTCTCTGCTCTCTGTCTCAGCCCGCGCTAGCACAACACCTATACGCCAGCCAGCTAAATTCGTTCCACTCTCGTTAAGTTTCCTCCAAGCCCACGATTAGCCCGTGAGCACGGCTGTCTCACTAAGCGGCAGAAGATCGCGGTGCTTGCACACTGCCGCATGCCGCTCGTCAGTTATTAAATTAACAGACCTGTAACTACATCCCCGCTACTTGGGAGGCATCAATCAGTAGTGGTGCGACGGCATGGCAAAACATTGTGAGGGGGCAAAAACGTGAGGATTTATATGGGATCGCGCAGTTATAGTAGTTCACTAAACTCTGATTAGTTCAAAGGCTGCTGACTGTTTCTGCAGATAAAGCAGTGGATATTGGTGCAGCGTAGAAGGCAGGATATTTGTCAGGTAAAGGCTAGGGATATATTGGTCCAGGTAAAGCAGGGAATATTGGTCAGGTAAAGCAGGAATATTGGTCGGTAAAGGCAGGGAATATTGGTCAGGTCAACCTAGGGAATATTGATCAGGTAAAGCACCGGGAATATTGGTCTAGGTAAAGCGGTGAATATAAGGCGCAATAAAGGCAGTGGAAGTAGAGGTAAGGTAAGGAAGAGAGGAAAAGGAAGAAAAAAAAAAACAAAAAGAAACTAATGAGTAATAGTTTGGTTATTAGTAAAGTTTATAAGGTAGTTATTAGTAATAATCTAACGCTGAATATTGAGCGGTTTTATTCAAATCCATTTTGATAAATTCCATCTCCGGCTCTGAAGCATACCTGCCCTTCGCTGCGTGCAGTCAACATTATACGGCACCGGATACGCCGTTCATACCGCAGACGAATATAGCAATTTCGCAAGATGGCTGCGCCAAAAGACGCACCCGAGGATAAATCTGGCAGCGTATGAGGTAATCCGCGCCGGCTTGTTGGCCTGCGGCCATCATCCTCTTGGGCGGCGGCTGGTATTCCCTCATGGTCGTCGTGGGTTTTCCGTTTCTCTGGATCAGGTTGCGCCCTAAGCCTTTATTTGAGACCTGACGACTTTCTAGAGAGCGAAGTGTACGGTTTCGGGAGGCCAGCTAAGGAACGGCGAGTAAAGTACTAACGTGCTAACCGAGTTTTTGTTCGTGTTAGGTTGTGGATGCATCGCTGCATTATTAATCGTCAACGAAGTTGTCGTCGTCGTGCTATCCCGTGTCGATGCGGCTGCGTTAGCTTCGCTCTATTCTGGTCATCAGCGTCAGCAGCTCGCTCCTTCTTATCTTCAGTCATGGCCCTCATCATGCCTGCGACTTCGGTCCTGATCCAAATGCCATGATCGTTCACCATGCTCTGCTTTCTCCTCTCCAAAGGTTAATAGGCGTCATCTGTCGCTTGCCTTTTTTTGCGTCTTTAATGATACATCGTCGGTCAATATGTGTAAACTAATTGTATGGTTATCGGTACTACCCGTAGTGTGTAGTGCGTTATGGGACTAGGCATTGTCCGAGCACAGGGAGTGGCAGCCTCATTCTTCCCGTGCAACACACAAGGTACACATGTACAGCGCAGGTGGCAGGCAGGCGAGAGATGTTACCGTGTGGCGTGAGGTAGCCCGTTCGCGTCACTATAGAAGCGTCTGCCTATAACATTCACGACTAGCAAGACAACGAGGTGGGTGTGTGGTTATTTGAAACCTAGTTACGAGGACGCCCGCGGCAGGGTGGAAGTGTGGCAGAAGAAGGGCGGGCAAGGTGAGGCGTACGGGGGAGGGAGGGCCGGGAGATGAGCGTACGGGAGGAGAAGGAGGGGTAGACTAAGGGCGTAGCGGGGGGGGAGATGAGGGAAGGGCAAAGAGTGAGCGGTAAGGGAGGGGAGGGAGCGGAAGTAAGCGAGTATGGGGAGGGGCAATGGAGGGGGTGACGTTGCCAAGGTGACCTTGTTGCGTGATGATGCGGTGCTTTCGTAAATTGGTGAGGTTGGTGTAGGAGTAACCAGTGGAGTGTGGTGGGCTGCGCTCTACGTCGAGCTGTTGTCAGGGCCGAGACGAGGTCTTAGGGCAGAGATATTTAAGGGGCAAGGTCACGGGACTGGGGCTAGATATACATATACCGTGTTGTCTGATGCGGGAAAACACTTGATGTGTGTGAGGCCAGGGTGAATATATGGCGAAATGTTTTTAATATTACAGCTCTGATATCGTCTAACACGCCTTTCGCTGTGGCCGTGGATAAGCATCAGTGAAGTGTCTGGCAGAGATTGAAACGAAACTATTAGTTGTTTATGCTCATCTTTAGGGCATATACTATAAGTATATATATAGAGTAGAGAGAGAGAGGCAGCAGAGAGTAGATAGCGCGATATCTGCTGCGCATCTCGCTCCATGTCTGCTCCTTCCGGCGTGCTCGTCTTTTTGCAATATGCATTAAACCAGACCGGCTTTTTTATTTCGCAGTGTTTTCTCGCTATAACCAGATGCTGCCATGGAGACACAAATATTTGGACAACTTAAATGGCGAGCCCTCGAGCAAGCTGCAACGCCGTTTTTGGTCAGGAGGGTAGGGAGTAGCAGCTGGCATCTACGACGCGCGCGATAAGTGGAACAGAGCGTGATCAGGAGGTGCGCAGCGCTGGTCGGAGAGGAGACACCTTCCACGCCATCTTCTGCGTGGTTTTGCTCCTCGTGCTCTCCGGTTTCTCCGTGCTCATCTGTAATGGAGCGATGGGGTGGTGGGGTGTTGGTGGTGGGTGTGTCGGTCAGCGAGCAGCCACTAGCAGGACGAAGAGAGAACCGCGGCGGGATGCTAGCGGAAAAATGAAGCTTGCTCATCGGTCGCGGCGTTAAGCTACAGTTAGAGTGTGGGCGGCACATGATGGTCGCGAGTGAAAAGACATTGACGTAGAAGCGGGAGCCATGGAAAGAATAGCCAAGCTGGCGGCCATTCTTTATATATTTTATATAGCAATAATTATATATATATATATAACTGTTTTGTTCTTGTTTAATATATATATCGTGTGTAAATCAGAAAGAAAACGGTAACAGAGGCTCATGTTCTTGCTCTGTTGCTTATCTCTCTGTGTGACGCGACGTAAGCGTTATAATAATTTGAGTAGTGGTCGTTCTGTTTGTTCCTGCATAACTATCGTAGGCGCGTGCACGAATACCGGATTGAAATTTGTCGTGCTTATATATAATAGATAACTTCCGGGTGTGAGCCCCTATTAGATATATATATGTTAGTTTATTGGTTTTAATGTAAAAAAAAGAGGGTGAGTGAGAGTCTACTGGAGAAATCCTGGGCCCTTTAAAACAGTGGAGCGATTCAGTTCACTTCCCGACTAGGTGTGCTGGCTGTAGACTTTACAAACAGCGCAACCACAGCTAAGGATTATACGAAGATGAGCGTGGTCGGCGGTAACGCTTGCAGAGTGGAGGTTCGGCAGCGGCAGCACTGCGCCTTCGGTGGCCACACCTGCAGCGCTCGCGGACTCGGAAGGTCGGGGCATATCTATCTATCAAGGTTATGTCTCATTTTTCTATCCTATCTATCTATGCTTATGCTATCTACGCTCTATCTATTATCTATCTATCTATGCCTGTCTAATCTATCTATTTCTTATCTATCTTATCTATCTTGATCTAATCTATCTATCTATCTATGCTATGGCTTATCTACCATCTATGCTATCTGATACTATGCTATTTATCTATCTATCAGTGGCATATCTATCTATGCTATCTTGTATCTATCTATCTATCTATCTATCTAATGCTATCTATTCTAGGTTATGGCTAGTGTGGAGTGGGTGATCAAATAATACTGATCTAATCTATCTATTATCTACTCTATCTATCTATCTATCTATCTAGTCTATGCTTCTATGCTATCTATCTATCTATCTAGTCTATGCTTAGTCTATCTCTTATCTACTATATCTATTAATAGAGCTATCTAATCTATCGTATGCTATCTATCTAATCTAGTGCTATCTATATATATAATTTTTAATAGCTATCTATCTATCTATTGGCTATCCTATGCTCATCTATTATGCTATCTATCTATGCTATCTATCTTATCTATCTCATCGTGAGAGTATATACTATCTATCTATGGTAGTACTCATATGCTAGTTTTGATCATAATCTGTCTACATATAGTATATAATAGTATGTCTATACATTGCCATGAAAATGTGAACCTGTGACCGGCTTGACCTGTGGGGAAAGCATGTTCAAAATCAATTAGGGTTTCCACGCCGCCGGTGAAGGTCCACGCTGCTGGACCAGTTGAGAAGTTTTCGTGACTCTAACGAGTTTGCTAAAATATCCGAGAAGAAGGCAGCAGACCCAGCACACCCGCACACGGGCACACGCGAGCACGCACACGCAGCGGACACCGCACAACACGAGACAACACACGGACACACGGCGAGGGAGCACACACAGCGCGACACAAAACACACAGCGGCACACGCACACGGGCCACGCACGCAGCCGCACGCCGGCTACACACACACTTTGGGCAGCACACACACACACACACACACTGGCATACCGCATACACACAGCACCACACGACACACAACACGGCACGCACGCACACACACACGAGCACAAACACCAAAACGGCGGCGAAAACAATTACAGCCTTCGCTAGCACTACGTGCAGAGGGATATAAACCAATTACTGCGAAGGCGGGTTTGCCTACATTTTTCCAAGAATCAATTACTAGGTGCCCGCAGTGCGACCGTTTAGGTAGAAAACTGAGCGGGCGAGCGTCAAAAGCAAAAATAATTGTATTAAGCGAGTTTCGTATAAGCCACTTCAAGCATATTGGGTGGTGGAGGATTAACAAAGAACAAAATTATGGGATTACAAGTGGTGGTGAGAAAGAGATTATTGTGAGGTGAGGTGAGTTTATATGTACTAATTAGAACTTTGCGCTAGCGTTAAATGTTCATGCAAATAGAAGAATTACTGGCAAAGCTCAACCTGCCTCATTCATGGACTACTATTATATACAGTCGCAACCCCCGTATAGTATGAAATTATTTTCAGAGAGTCATTCTCTTCTCTCTACTCTTCTCCTTCCCTCTCACTCGTCTCTGCTTTCTGCTCTCTCTCACTCTCTTCTCTCTCTGCTCTCTCTCTCTCTCATATATATAGCATCGGTGTGGGCGTGCTCCTGATGGCTCTGTCTCACCCGCTAGCAGGCAAACGCTATACGGCACCACTAAATGTCGGCTGCCATGCTCGTTAGTTTTAGCCAAACCGCACGATCGCCGGTGAGCACCTGTCCACTAACGCAGAGATGGGGCCGGTGCTTTGCAACACTCCCGCCATCCGCTGCTCAGTTATTAAATAACAGACCTATAACTACATCAAGCTCTGGAAGGCATGCAATCATAGTGGTGCGACGGCATGCAAACATTGTGAGCACGGTGAGGATTAATAGGTAATCACGGGCGAGGGTACTAGTAGTTACTAAGCTCTGATTAG